ACAACTTTATTGGCCTTTCACCAATGCTAAAACCCCTTAGGAAAAGGAAAATACCACAAGACTTTTCTATTCTACCACTTCTCACGCACTGCCTTTCTTAAGTTTCATTCCAACAGAAACAACCCTTGAAAAGGATTCTCTGAACAGGATGGGAGAAAAATGAGGTCTTTTATCAGCACTGGCATTACTCAGGCTCTAGTTTTAAAGGGCTGTCTCTCTCAAAACAAGCCCTGCACTCCCTTCTGCCCACACAAGACCAAGTTGACCGCAAGAAGAGTATGTCTCTCAAGACGCCACAGTCTCAAATTCTGCTATCATAAAGCAACGATGTGAAAAGAAAACGTGTACCATGCTTGTAAAACTTTATATTATTTGAGTATAAAAGCACTGAGATGTGCCCTTCATATGTGAGTGGGATATCTACAAGAGGGCAGGGTCTGACATTATATTGAAGTGAAGAGTCATTGCAGGGGACAGACAGGGCCCTCACCAGGGGGTCACACTGATCTGCTCCTTGCTGTGTGTACAGGCTTTTTCTGGTCTAGTTGCTTGGCATGGTGATCTTAGCAGAACCCATTGTGAATTATTCAAGGCACACATAATGGGTTACTGTAACGAGAAACGGCATGACAGGAAAATGGAGATGGTATAAAGTGCTCTTTCAAGACTTCTGCTCTCACTGCAGACGACTCCCAGCAATACATGTCATGTCAGTGCAACCTGCAGCCTTAATGCAGGATGAGACCACGGGCAGACAGCCCAAGCATTCTGAGTGTTCAGCAAAGAACACCGATTATGATATGCTTCTGCTTTTCAAATTTCTGTCTGCATATTTAATGTTCTTCTATGCATCCGGGATGAAATATTCACAAGGATGACACACAGAGAGGAGTAATCACAGGCAGCAATGGCCTCCTGACAGGGCTTCTGTCCAGAAATCTTTTCACAGCTTGCAGAACAGTCAGGAACCCAAACTTCACAGCAAGCCCCAAGCAGTATCCTTCTGTGGGCATTTAATTAATTTCATGTTCATCAGCCGCAAAGCTCAGCTGAGCCGTCTGTCCCATGGGCTCTTTATAAAGAGCTGGGATACGTGCAATAAAAATGGGAAAAAATGACATTCAAAAATGATTACTCTCTGGTCACACCATTCCGACAGTATAAGGTGTTTTGTTTTCAAGAAGTATGAGAACTTTGAAAGTGCAGTTGCTTGCTCGTCGCCGCTTCTCAGAAAATTGGGATAGGGGAAACCCATGGTCAGTATAATATACTCATTGGACAATCTTTTCACCGATATCTTTTCTAAAGGTTTCCAGTCACTCAATGCAACAGAAACAAATATCAATCATGAGGAATTAAAAGGCCACATGGTTCTAAACTAACATAACATCTTACTATTCTCTGAACATTTAAAATGGAAACAACTTCCCTTTTAAAGCAAGATCAGAACATTAATATCTTTATCTTCATCTTAAACTGTGAACCCCTTTTTTTCCCCCCACCATAATCCTGCCTAGCAAGCATCCTACAAGGCTGGGTTACGGCCCCCAGGTCTGATAAGAGAAGCCCCAGTAATAAGGTTCTCTGAATATTGACATGAATCTGGCTCTGCACTGAGACTGGGTAATGCACAAAATATATACTTTTACTCTTCACCATTACATTTGGCTTGAACTACTAACAATGGTGGGAATGTGGCATTCAAATGTTTTGCTAGAAGAGAACCATTTGAAGCACAATATATATTCATATACCTATATCCGCATGCTACCAGGGATGGACATTTTTTTTAAATTTAGAAATGACAGTTATTTTTACTATATACCACATATGAAACAACTAGGGATTTTTCATTTACACATGGCTGAGAAGCTGCACAGACCACTGATTTGCTGTGATTCAAGAATTCATGGTGTTAGTATCATCCTTCAGCATGAAACCTCTGTAATAGAGTCTGCATGATGCATAACACCTAGCGACCAGAATCTACTGTGTCTTGTAGCTACTCCCATTTTGTGCTTGGTACTGTCTCGTTGTCGAAGCTTTTTATCCGAATATCTCAAGGTTCTCTCCGGAAGGTTTTAAAAAAACATCTCAGTTCTTTGTTTTGGCTAAAGTACATCTTACACCTTCAAAACCTTCAAAAAGGTTTCAGCATTTCAGTTAGGTACGGAAAACAGCAAAAAAAAAAACACCCACTGCCAAACAACCTAGGACCCACTCCTGCAGATCTTAAACTTTATTAAACATGTGAATCCGAGAAGAACATTTATGCATTTGTCACTTAAGACAGCAAATGTTTGCTTTCCAGAGAACCATCTGAATTGTGCCACTTATTTTTTGTCAAAATCTGTTTTCAGCCTGTCACCCAGTAGTGCAGGACTGCTTTGAAAATACTGCGGGTGACTCATCTCCTCAAGCCCATTCTTAAAATAGGCTGCAGAATTGTCAATGAACAGCGCCTGCCTCCTGCCACCAGTGAACACTCATTCACATTAAACACTTCGTCACCTTGCAGTTTATCAGACGTGCATCCCAGCATTCCTCGCCAAGCTGACAAAGAAAGATGCTCTTCATGGCAGCTATTCTCAAGTTTTCTATCTGAAGAACGGGCTACCTGCCATTTCCAAATGGTCTTCACGGCATGACTCAGCCCCTGCTGACCTTCCGCAGAAGCACACTGTCACACTTTCCCTCCCTCAAGCATGTGGACGGCCTGGATGTTCTCAGCTGTCGCCCACTTGCAAGGCCGGTCATCCGTCCTCGGGTTTTGTGACATCCCAAGCGCTGCCATCGCTTTGGTGAAGAGTCAGATCTTCCTTGTGAAGAGCGTCGTCGCGACAACGAGAAAAACAAAGCTCTCTGAAGCACCAAGCGCCCACACAGAGGGAGGCTGAAATGACCTTGAGCAACAGCTGAAATCGTGTGGAAAACCCGCTGAAACACAATGCTTTATTTATAGCTCAAAAACAATCAGAATTTTCAATTTTCCTGTTTTTTTCCTCGGCAAGTTTACAAATACTAATTTTTAAGCTATAGATGCAAAGCATCTTCAGTTCATTATGTCTGCTGCAGCATACCGCTTTGTGGTTGCTACAGACTGACCATTCCCATTTTTAACACGGTGTTTGAACCGTGTTAAAAATGATGCAATGCAGCTTAAGTCAAAAAACAAATTAGAAATATTCAACTTTTTGGGATAATTGTATCCTAGCTTGCTAGAATCTTTAAACAAACTCTGATTTTGCGTCTCTGAAACAAACAATCTGGTAGGTGTTAAAAGACCAATGAAGACGGACGAGTTCAGGTTTTTATTGTCACAGTCTCTTTAATGCTTCTACTGCTGGCAGCTCTGTGGTCTGTCTTGTCACAGATGGCATAGCGTTCTGCTGACCACACAAGGCCTCCTGTCTGTCTCACACAAAGCAGCTGTGGTGAGGGGGCTGTAACATCTGCTCCCCATTCATTTAGGTCAGATCTCCCAATCCCCGCTTACAACGAAGCCAAGATCCTTTTCGTGGTACGTCTACACAACCAGAATACTGAAACTTAGTCCCCAACAGTGGGAAATCTTTGAAATTCAGATTTCCCCTAACAAACATGAGGGCACAAGTGGAACTTATGTGGTAGTGCATTTAAAACTGATAACAGGAGACCCTTCTGTTCACAAATTGCTATGGGAATGAGAAACAACCTACCCAGCCATGAGGTTGAAGCAGGTACCTGGACGTCTTTAAAGAAACAGCTGAATGTGATCCTTGGATCAATTAACTACTACCAAATGGGCCGAATGGATGCTCCTATCTGATCTTTCATACATTCCTAACCTGGAGACCCATCCTCCTTAAAAATACTACAATGCAACACCATTTTTTTTCCTTTCTGCTGGTTTTCAAAACCCAGGTTTCCTCCATAAGGTAAGTGGTGGACATGTTCTAAATGACTTGGGAAGGCACTAAAAAAACTGTAGTTATTGGAAGAATGCTTTAGTGGAATCATATCAAAATGATTTCATGTTCTACATCAATTGAGATACAGTGCAGTTTTTTTACATAACGATAAAAATTCACAAAAATAAAAGCATCTGATGTCAAGAATCAAGTGTCAAGCAGACCACTGACCCCCTTCTCTCTGATTTAGCATCACCTCTGCAGCTCCCTGGAAGATTAAAAAGAACGGATAGATGGTACTGAGTTATTCTGTGGATTAGCTGTCATATAAGAGAATTTCCAAATAAATAATGGCATGGCGATGCAGTGGTTAGCACTGCTGCCTTGCAGTGCTGGGGCCATGGATACAATTCTATAACAGGGGTGCTATCTGTGTGGAGTATGTATGTTCTCCCCATGTTCACATTGGTTTCCTCCAGGTGCTCTGGTTTCCTCCCACTGTCCAAAGACATACTAGTTAAGTAGTTTCTAGGAAAACCAGCTATTATGCCCTGCGATGGACTGACTGACATCCTACCCAGGGTGTACTCTGCCTTGTATCCATTACTTGTTGGCCTAGGATATAACCCCAGACTCTAACTTGGAAGAAACAGCTAGAAAATGGATGGATGGGTAATCTAATTCATTAAACATATTGCAAGCAAAATATGTAAAAAGGTTCTGAACCATAGTAAGATAGAAGATAGAAGTACGACAGGCTGTAATTTTGCTACTGTGGTTATCATCATATAAACAGTACACTGTGGCATCCTTAAAACTTTTCCTTCATCAGCATCCTTTTCTGAAACCTCACCATTACAAACAGGAATATTTAATACATGCACATGCTGTAGAGAGATAGTTTCATTCTAAATTCATGATATCAAGAATGATATTACTGCTGAAATGGTGCAGTTTTTGTCTCTCTTTGAGACTGCGTTCTCCTGCACCCCCACCGAACAGTTCAACAGAAAACATTCTCTCTCTGTCTCCCTGTGTCACTTCGCTCTGTTCAGTGACTCATCCTCCATCAGCGTCAGGGAGATGAGAACATGCTGACAGGCTTGTTACCTCCGGCACTCAAGAGCAGGCTTCTTTCATGGCGTTGTTTCCAGTCTGCAGAACAGAAAGACCTGAACAGCTTCTATTCGCTTAGTTTACTGATAATGAGTTTGGTGCCCAGGCGAGGAGGAGGAGGAGGGGTACAGGTTCAGACTATACAGCCCTGACTCAAACCTTATAAACCATCATCGCAGGATCTTGCTGAGATCAAGAAGCCCACAGAAACAAGCTTAACCCATCGAGAACTGACAAACAGGATCATAAAAAAACAGCCAAAGCCCTCCTACATCTATGCTTTTGCTTTTGAGGAGGCACACATGCCCAATATTTATAAGGTTTGCTGCATTATAGCTGTGATGTATGGTTTTTAGTTGAAACTAATAAGCAAATGCAATAATCTAAGCCAGATGCAGGTTCTTTCATAGATAATGAAACCACTGTAGAGGGCAGATGACCTCTCAACTCGATAAAGATCCCTAATCAATATCTTAAGTGTGAACATGATACAATTCTCTCTCTTCCTGATTTTGTTGCAACCATCCTTCTTATCTGTTTCCTCATACTATCATGTGCAGTACTGGTGACTGCTCCACAAAAACAATGAATCAATATTACCACCAGTATAAACATCACCACCAGAACCAATAATAAACTCAGACCACAGGATTAGACTTGAAAAAGAGGTGAAGGTAAATGTAGAGAAAAAAAATACACTTTTTCACACCAATAGTCCTTTAGACCAAACTTTCGTCTACAGATAAATTATCTATTAGCAAACATAGAATAAGGAGAACTTGAATAATGACCTCTGGTTTTGATGTTGTATGGTATTTTTCTGTAGGAAATCACAAATGACTTTGTGGATTACCAGGTTTATTTACACAATTTAAATTGATTCACTCAACCTCAGTGATTGGGAAGAGAATACTTACTAATACTTCACAACTCATTTAATTAAGATCCACCTAAACACATGCAAATCTTAACCAGGAATTGAACTCCAACGCACTGAGGAATTCTATCAATGTTTGTGTTTGCACTAATAATAATAAACAACAGTTTCTTATTTCAAATGAGGAACATGAACCAGAGGGCACAAATGGAAACTAGGTGGAAGTGTATTGAAAAACTAGTAAAGTAGTCTAATCGTCTCGGTACAACAGTCAATAAATTCAACGGCTCAATGTCAGTTGACGTAAAGTTAAGCATCATGTCTTTCAATTTTCCTAGGAATGTTCTGGTTCTTTGTTTACATCATACCATTTATCTTCAGTTTTTCCACATCAATCATTTATTTAAGTTGAATTAATCTAAATAATGTAAAGTACATGGCTGTCACTCATTTACAACACAAAGACAGTAACTTCGCAATGAGCGGCATTTGACCACTGCACAGGAAGCTCCAATAAGATAAAGAAAAAAGGTTGCTTAGTCTCCGGGCATTTAAAAAATAGTAAACATGAACACACTTATAGCAACGTGCTTTCACCTATAAACAATAATGTAGCATTTATGATTCTGAACAGACCGCACAAATCAAAATAATTAACAATCGCTACCCCAGAACAGATTCAGCTGATTCAGAGACAGACGTCTCCATTCATGTATAACAAATGAAATTAAAGGAGCACATGAACAAAGGCTCAAACCACGGACATGACACTCTTTCAGCATTAACTCAGCTTCAACAAAAACAGTTTTCATTCTTCACTATTACCATCCAGAGGATCGTTCTAATGGGCATGCCGGAACAAAGTACATTCCCAATCCCCTTAAAAAATTAAATAATTTTATAATTCCATTTTTTAAAGAAAAAAAAGATAGCTACCTACTCCATACTGCAAAGTGACAGCAGACAAATTACGGATCTGTGTAGGAATCATTTCCAAGGGAACTAACTTGAAACATGTCAGAAGAGCAAAGAGATTACCAGTTTCAGTTTTTGGGCTTTTATTTTTCTTCCCAAATAACAAACCTCCTATAAAATAAGAAACTGAAAACCAACACAAAATCCCACGGCGTTAAAAAACATGTATTTTCTGTGTGTAATCACTGGTAGTGACTGGCTTGTGAAGGACGGGGGGTAGGCCTACCTGTGATACACTGGATGTGACCATCCTCGCGTCGTATCGTGAAGGATTCGCCGGGGTTCACCTGCACTAAGATCACCTGGAGAGGGGAGAGAGACGATTCCAATTAACAAAACATTTTTTAAGAGTGAATTTGACATGTTTAATTGATTATGTGTGTGCTCCGTTATAAAGACGAGTCCCAAAAATCCGAATCACCGATATAATGTTGAGTGGTCTGTTTCCAGTCTGTAGTATTCGTAACTACAATTTTTGTACCAGAATGTAAAAGGAAATTAGAATTACACTTCTATCATTTTTAGGAGCAGATCTGGTTCTGACAAAGGATTTTAATGAGAAAAGGGGTATGCAGCCAGTCTTAAAACAACAACCTGTGCATGGGTTTAAAAGCAAAATGAAATATTGGGGTGAATGCAAATGCCTGGACAGTTTACATCCCTCAGAGTCATTTCAGAGGTTCACAGCTGACTTGAGGTAGAGGTTCCAGGTTACCTATCCACCTGATTATGGCATCTACAAAGTAACAGTAGCTAGTTTTCTGCTGAATTTGGAATGGGAAATATTGCCACACTCAACATGCCTCCAGATCCTGCATATACAAATAGAAATAAAAACCAGCCTTGTTTTCTGAGAGTGCAGATTTGTAACATGTTATATAACGTCTGGAACATAAGCTTTTGCCTGAAGAGGGGAAGTATCACCTGATACTAAATAACACGGGGGAGAAAGTGTGGACCTCAACTTTAATTCTACAGGAGGTTGCCTGTTCACAGAGAACTTCTAGTCTACTCTAGTCCCCTTTCTAAACACACAAGGGTTTGAGTAGGTCCTAACCATGCTGCAAGGAGTCGAGGTCTTCCACGTTCTGGAAGCAATAGAACTTGACTACTGCAGAAAGGAAATCCTGGTCCCTGAGGATTGGAGTGGTGTGTCAGCATGTTTTCATTCCAGCTCACCCTTTTGCTCTTTGCAGAGTGGTGGCACTGTGGCTAAGGATCTACACCTGTGACTGGAAGGCTGCCGGTTCAAATCCTGTGGCCAGCAGAGGACCCCTACTCCGTTGGGCCCCTGAGCAAGACCCTTAACACCCCAGCCGCTCCAGAGGTGCCATATAAATGGCTGACCCTGCGCTCTGACCCCAAGCTTCTCTCTCCTTGTCTGTGTGCCTGTGTGTCTTGTGGAGAGCAAGCTGGGGTATGTGAAAAGACAAATTCCTAATGCAAGAAATTGTATATGGCTAATAAACTGATTTCTTATCTCTTCTTATCAATGTAAATCAGATTATCACTGGCTTAACAGTTATGCAGGTGTTGCTGTTTTAATGAGACCCAGAACACGTACAGACACACCAGCACCAGGACCAGGTCTGGACAGCCCAGCCCAGATCTACATACTCACAGAACTACAGGGGAAAATGGGCAAGTCCTAATCTGATTTATTTGTTTGATGCATCAAATGAATACAAATAGAACACATGGCACATTTATATTTACTTACAACTTCTGGTAAGGTTACATACAGAAGTCTAAACTTAAAACTACAAATTTAAAGAAGTGCACTGCAGTGATAGGAAAATTAGTTAGAACAATGACAAAAGAAAGAGCGATGATATGGGAGACATCTCCACATGAGATGAATTAATTATGGTATCACAGGTTAGTGTTTTACGCACACTTTTCTGTCCAATTTTGCCCATTTTACTAGATAGTGTATTCCTTTATAGCAGAAACTAAGGAAACAAAAATATTCCATTCAAGACATTTAAAATGCTTGGAAAATTAAAAAGAATGTTGAAAAAACACATTATATTACATGCAAGCAGTAGGAATATTTATTATACATATCAAAGGAGCAGTGATGAACTTAAAAAAGCAAACCTATGAACAACATTTAGCCATTTGCTCTTCCCGGGAATGTGGACAAGAAAAAAGAAATGACTGAACAGCAGTAAGCAAATTCAATGGACGTGTGCTTGTTGAATAAAAACAAGGGAATTTTAATCAAGGGAGGTTTTGTTCAAATTATACAGTACATTCATAAGACCTTATTTGGAATTGCTCACAGCTTTGATCACAAAATTACAAACCTGTAAGAATCAATCCAAAGAAGACCTAACATTTACATTTTTGAGCTTAATCCTGTCCTACAGGATTAGCCTGACAGGCCAAAAGAACTGATCCATTTAGTCTTGGACCAAGAACTTGATTTAAATGGGCCTTTGCCACCTGCCTTATGGTCTGGTCATAATGGCAAATAACTTGGCAACAGCAGTTCATTCCCTATTCTATACACAAAAAGCAGCTTTCGAGAAAAGCACCTTCCACATGACTGTGAGAAGGAGCCCTCTGAAGCTGTGAGCCAAACACAGCTACATGCCAAGGTTTTTCCATGAACGCTTCTAAATAAACGCACATAAGAAACGTGACAGTGCAAGTCTCCTTTGAGTCTTCCACTTGGAGGAAAAGAATTATGCTGTGTTTTTTTTTTAATTAAAAAAACTCTGGCTGTTTCCAGCTACACATTGTGTGGGTGTATCATATTCGTGCACGTCTTCACACCCTGGTTAGAAATTTCCAAACACTTGTGGAGCTCACGAGGAGTGGGTGGGTGGGGGAATGCTCTTTTGTATAAACCCATAGTGTTCTCCGACAATCTGCGTGGGAGAGAAAGAGAATCCTGTTGCTGATGGTGGTCCATGCCCCCCTTTTAGTCCGGAAGGGCTAAGGAGACAGAGCCCTGGGAAGAGGTAAGGCAGACCCTCGGAATACTAATGAAGCAATTATAGAGCTGGATACAGCTGGGGGAAGACCGATCCCTCCCTGTTTTCACAGCGGGAGAGGAAATGAGACTTACTGCATGGAATTCAGATCCAGTTTAGAATTCAATTGTGCAACTGCACTGCTGAAGCAAAAAGGCAAATTGCGCATACTAATATTTCTACTTTCCAGCAAACTAACACAAAACAAGGTATCTAACATCTGATGTTGGCTTGTATTGGAGATCCTTATAGATCACTAATCAGAAATTGTCACCATGGCTTGGCAACAGGTTCTTATTCATGCCAGTTTTTTGGACAGTTATGCATGTCTTTCAGAAATTGAAATATGATTCCACTTTGCGAAAAACTATATATTAGATGCTGCAGAAAACTGAATATATCAATAGGGGCTTTCTGTAAGGTGATATTACAATTCTTGTAAAACTGGTAGAAGTTTCATTCCTAGATGATAACATAAATCTTCTAGTGTGAATGACAGCTAGAATGACAACAAAACAGGAGCGATGCAGTCAATTAATATGACAGTTATTACTAAAGGCTCTGCATCTTCCTATGATTGTATGCAAATACATTTTACATAATCATAAGGAGATGCAGATATTCCAGCTGCAGATGTACAACTAAGTATCAATTTTAATATATAAAAATAACCTTTAATTTCATATAGGATTGCTTAAATTTGTGCTAGATCTATATAGCATTGTTCATAGCATTAAGATGATAAAGTGTACGACACAAAACCTTATTCAATGCATAATTTCACTGGTTGTCAAGAAATGAACAAGCTTAGCTAATTTTGCCCTTCTGAAAACTCCAGCTGCGCCATCTATAGCTTCACCTCGAAGAAATTGAGACACTTTTCTGGGAAGACTTTCAAGATTACCGTCTGATGCTTTTACTCACAGGAAGAGGTCAAAACTTTTCTACTCATCAGTTTTAATAAATCGAAAAGCTAAAAGGAAATATATTTCAAGCCTGTGATTCATGGTATATACCGGGCAGGACATATACAGCTCTTCTGGGGACAAACACATTGGTGTTGAGGCACCAACACATCATAACAGTTCTGCCTATTTAGAGCTGTATTTACTACAAACACTTAAAATTGTCTTAAAATTACGAACTCTACCATAAGTGAAACTATTATCATGTGAATGTATAATTAATTACTGACAGAGCTACCATCCTAGTGAGCACTATTTACTTCTGTCAGAATATACATCAGCTAAGACAGCACATTCAACAGCTGAATTCTCAAGTATGGACAAATTACCTCACACTACCTACCATACCTACAAAGCCCCAAAGAGTGCCAAACCCACTATATTAAAAGAGTGACCCTGGGAACCATTTATTTCCAATTCAGGGTCATGGGGGAGCCAGAGCCTACCCAGGCAAACAAGGGGAGCAGGGCAGGATAAACCTTGGACAGGGCACCAGACACTCACACACCTAAGGCCAATTCTCCTAGAATCCAATTAACCTGCCAATAGGTTTCTGGACTATGGGAAGAAACCAGAGCACCCGAATGAATCATGAATGTGGGGAGTGCATACAAACTCTACACCCTCCTATCTTCTTGATAAGTACTCAAGAACTGCCCTTGCAACAGATCTAAACAGTATAACAGTACAGTTGATAAACTATAATCCTTTAAAAAGAGTCAGACACTTGAAGTACCCTAAGTTCTTAACATAGGATACAAATACTTTGACTAAAACATAAGCAAGTTATGAGTCAGAGGACTCAATGACTATTTTAGAAGTCATCATTAAGTAACAATCAACTAAATTTAATTAACACCGTTAACTATTTTTTGTTAGCCCCAAAACTACCAAAGTAGTTGTGTTTCAGTCATTAATAAACAAATCATACCTAATGTTTCACAAAGAAAAAATGGATTAGGCATGTGTTAGTACACTAATGCTACTATTTACACAGAATTGTAGCTACGCCAGTCTCTGCACAGAGCACCACAAGCTGCCTTAGTGTGCTCACTCATATGATGGTTTACAGAGATGACACAGCTTGATCTCACTATAGTTTGTTACAAATTCCACTCATTTTTTTTCTATTTTTAAGAAATAAAAATGCAGAACAATAATGACTTTAGTAATAAGAAAAATGTCTCAATAGTCCTTGAGTTCAGATGCAATGATCAAAATTAAGTTTAGTGATGATGGTGTGACAAGACTGCATAACTGCAGTACTATAAAACTATAAAATTGCATCATTATTCCTTCTTATAGACCCATAAGCCAAGTAATCCCAAAAAATAGTTCTAACTAAATTATCTCCGC